AAGACTGTTATTATTATTGTCAACTTTTTTTTTTTTACCGGGGTTTACCGCTACACTGGTTACCGTGACAACCCTACCTGATCGGTTTGCTTTGATCTATTTTGAAAATTCCGATCAAAACCGATAGGGGCGCTATCGGCCGATTACGATCAAATGCCGATCTATCGGTGCATCCCTACTTGACACACTCCACACCACGGCTGCGTCTAGAAATTCTGGCCATAAAGGTTATGAACAGAACCGGTGACAAAGGGCAGCCCTGGCGGAGTCCAACCCTCACCGGGAAAAGGTCCAACTTACTACCGGCTATGCGGACCAAACTCACACTCCTCTGGTAAAGGGACTGAATGGCCCTTAACAAAAAGCCACCCACCCCATACCCCTGGAGCGTCCCCCACAGGGTGCCTCTAGGGACACGGTCATAAGCCTTCTCCAAATCCACAAAACTCATGTGGATTGGTTGGGCAAACTCCCATGCCCCCTCCATCACCCTTGCAAGTGTATAGAGCTGGTCCACAGTTCCACGGCCAGGACGAAAACCACAGTGCTCCTCCTCAATCTGAGATTCAACTATCGATCGGACCCTCCTCTCCAGTACCTTGGAGTAGACCTTTCCAGGGAGGCTGAGGAGTGTGATTCCCCAATAGTTGGAACACACCCTCCTTCTTAAAAATGGGGACCACCACCCCAGTCTGCCACTCCACAGGAACGGCCCCCAATGACCACGCAATGTTTCAGAGATGTGTCAACCACGACAGTCCTACTACATCCATAGCCTTGAGATACCCAGGACGAATCTCATCCACTCCTGGGGCTCCGCCGCTGTGTAGTTGTTTGACTACCTCAGAAACTTCTGCCCCAGAGATTGGACAGTCCATCCCCAGGTCTCCCGGCTCTGGCTCCTCCTCGGAATGTGCGTAGGTGGGATTGAGGAGCTCCTCAAAGTATTCCTTCCACCGCCCGACTATTGTCCCAGTTGACGTCAGCAGCTCCCCATCTCCACTGTAAACAGTGTGAGCCAGTTGCTGCCTCCCCCTCCTGAGGCGCCGGACAGTTTGCCAGAAATTCTTTGGGGCGGATCGATAGTCTTTCTCCATGGCCTCACCAAACTCCTCCCACGACCGAGATTTTCCCTTGGCAACTGCCACTGCTGAACCCCGCTTGGCTATATGGTTCCCGTCTGCTGCTTCCGGAGATCCACAGACCAGCCACGCCCTGTAGGTCTCCTTCTTTAGCCTGATGTCTCCCTGAACCTCTGGTGTCCACCAGTGGGTACGGGGGTTGCCACCACGACTGGCACCGGCCATGTTGCAACCACAGCTAGCAACAGCCGCCTCAACAATTGCAGAGTGGAGCAAGGCCCACTCAGAGTCGATGTCCCCCACTGCTCTCGGGACGTGGTCAAAGCTCTGCCGGAGGTGGGAGTTGAAGACCGTCTTGACAGGTTCTTCTGCCAAGCATTCCCAGCAGACCCTCACTATGCGTTTGGGTCTGCCAGGTCTATGCGGCATCTTCCCTGCCAACTCACCACCAGGTGGTGATCTGTTGACAGCTCCGCTCCTCTCTTCACTCTTGTGTCCAAAACATACGGCCGCAGGTCAGATGAATCGACTATGAAGTCTATCATCGACCTGCGACCTAGGCTGCCCTGGTACCAAGTGTACCAATGGGCATCCTTATGTTCGAACTTGGTGTTCGTTATGGCCAAACTGCGGCTTGCACAGAAGTCCAATAACGAAACACCACTCGAGTTCAGATCAGGTGGGCCGTTCCTCCCAATCACACCCCTCCAGGTCATGCTGTCATTGCCCACGTGAGCATTGAAGTCCCCCAGCAGGACAATGGAGTCCCCTGATGAAGCACTATCTAGCACTTGTCCCAGGGACTCCAAAAAGGGTGGGTAATCTGAACTGAAATTTGGCGCATAAGCACAAACAAGGCGCAGGGAAGCTACCCTCTCGCCCCCCGGGGTAAACCCCAACACACAGGCAGCCCTCCGCCTCTCACCCTGAGCAACTCCAGCAAAGGAGAGTGTCCAACCCCTCTCAAGGACTTGGGTTCCAGAGCCAATGCTATGTGTCGAGGTGAGTCCGACTGTATTTAGCCGGTACCGCTCAACCTCTGCCACAAGCTCCTGCTCCTTGCCCGCCAGCAAGGTGACGTTCCATGTCCCAATAACCAGTTTCCTTGTCTGAGGATCGGACCGCCAAGGCTCCAGCCTCGGTCTGCCACCCGATCCACACTGCACCGGACCCTTCATGTTCCTCCTGCGGGTGGTGGGTCCACAGTTGGATGAGCCCGTGAATCCGGTTTGGGCTGGGCCCAGCCGGGCCCCATGGGCGAAAGCCCGGCCACCAGGCACTCGCTCACGGGCCCCAACCCCAGGCCTGGCTCCAGGGTGGGACCCTGGTAACCCTCTGGGCTGGGTACTCCGACTCTTTGTTTTAACATCCATGAAAGATCTTTTGATCCGTTCTTTGTCTCAAGACAAAGTTAAAATTCACGACACAAAAAATTAAGAATATAAAAGAGATTAAAAAAAGATTAAAAATATGGTTAAGATGAGAAAAAAAATTGTGATTACAAAATGTAAGTAAAGGGAAAGAGGGAAATCAGTAGATGATCCTGGGTCATGCAAAAGCCAACTTGAACAGGTGAGTTTTCAGCTGCTTTTTAAATGAGACCACTGAGTCCAGATATCTTAAGCTCAGTGGGAGAGAGTTCCAGAGTCAGGGGGGCCACAGAAGCAAATGATCTGTCACCTTTGGCATTTAGCCTGGTGTGCTGCGCAACCAGTAGGCTTGGATTACTAGACCTCAGGGACTTGCTAGGGGTGTAGGGACTTAGAAGATCGCCAATGTTTGATGGTGCTTTTCCATGTAATACCCTAAAAACCAGAACCAGGATCTTGAAATGAACCCTGAAGTTGATTGGCAGCCAGTGAAGCTGGAGGAGAAGCGGGGTGATGTGGGTGTGTTTGGAGGACTTGGTCAGGAGCCGAGCACAGACATTCTGAACCACCTGTAGACGGTTCAGGGAGGTTCTGCTCAGACACGTGAAAAGAGAGTTGCAGTAGTCTAGGAGATGCTGGGGAGTGCTGAGATGAGTAGGAGATGAAGGTGTGGATAACTGTCTCAAGTACAGAGCGGGATAGAATGGGACTCAACTTAGCAATGTTCCTGAGATGGAAGAAGGAAGAATGAACAAGAGAACTGACATGAGAAGCCTGGGTGAGAGCTAGGTTGAAGGTCACACCTAGATTCCTGATAGAGGGTTTGGTCTGAGAAGAAAGCTGACCTAGAGAGTCTCTGGCTTTGGGAACCAGCTTGTCTGGGGCGCAGTCAAGATGGACAGGAGATGTTCAGTTTAATGTAATCTGCATAAAGATGGTAGGAGATTTCTTTAAAATAGTTCAGGATGTGCTGAAGAGGAAGCAGATAGAGAATGAAAAGTGGCCCCAGCACAGAACCTTGTGGGACACCATGGATGAGGGATGAGGTGGAGGACCGAAACTTGGAGATAGCCACAGAGAAGGAATGCTCAGACAGATAAGAGGAAAACCACTCCGGAGTTCCAACAGACCGGAGCAGCAGCTCTGAAGTTGCAAGTGGAATATTCTGGCTACAGGGGGAGTTAGGGGCTGGGTAGCCTTTCATTAACCCTGAAAAGTGTCATTTTAGCGCATACTGGCTCAAGAAAATGACTAAAGAAATGAAAAAGTTGCAAAGTATCATATTAAAGTCAGGCACATTCTCAGGCAGCCCACTGCTGTTGCTGATTTTGATTTAAAATTTACATTCTCTAATAACATCTGCATAATAAATACTCTAAATTGACTTTATGTGTCTGACTTTACCACTGATCACAATGTTAAGATTTAACAGAGTTCGAAAGCTGATTAAGCTTTAAAAATTTTGCGCATCATCTGATGTTTTTAGTGACATTTTAGTTTGAATATAAGGTGGTAAACATCTGGATATAGGCCATGGAACTCAGCAGTATACATCGCCCATCAACTGACCATGCCTCCTAAATATCGGGATGGGTTTTAGAAATTGAAAAACCAATAATGGCCGATCTCTACAACTAACCTATTTTTTAAAATATGGTTATAATACAAATCCAGGTTTTAGTATATTTACAGTTTTTTTCATAGAATAATCACATTTAGTTTCCAGAATGAAAAGGAAAGTACCAGGATTTTAAAAAATCCATTTGTTTTGTTTTTTAGGTAATTAGTCAATTACATTTTTGCTATTTGTTTACAACTAAGAATTTATGTGAATATTGTAGTGAAACAGCAACTTTGTTTATCAACATGAAAAAATACCCCTTTCACCTTTTTATTTCTGTGTATTTTTTCAGTTGTATTTAGTTTCATGTAATTTCTATAAATTTCAAATTGCAACGCACTGGACGAAAACATTTCAAATGTACAATTTGGGCGTATACATAACATATTTATACATATTTAAAGTCTCTTTCCGGAGTATTTCTCTTATTCAAGGGCACCATCTAGTGGCTGACAAGCATACCACACAAAAGTCTGTTGCTCTCTTTGTTTAAGATGGCGACTTCACGTTTATGTTTATAAATGTGCTTCTGTAGCCGACAAACAGAGCTAAAACACGTTGTTTTACAAGTATTATTCTCATGTCATGCTGTGTTTTCATATATTTGTTTTTTAAAGACTGTCTTGTCCGTGAAAAGTTCATCAACTCTGCATCAGCCGAGATATTCCTTAAATTTGAAGCATCTAAGCGGTAGTCTAACGCTATTGCTTAGTTCTGGTCGGCGCTCAGTTTCCTATTTCACGGAGCTCTGCGGGGCAGGGGGCGCGCTTAGCAAAAAAAATTGCTTACATTGTATCACAGTACATGATAAGATAATCACTTTTACAGATTTCTGAAAAACCATACATAATTTCTGAAACTAGAAAACTCTGGAAACCTACTTTAATTCTTGTGTGCCTCTTTTTGTACTTTTTGTTCTTTCTTCAGACACACCACTGTTGGTGAGAAGCAGCAGTGACTCAGCCCTCAATCCCCAAACAACAGAGGTCGAAGCCACCTTCGGTGAAGAAGACTCTGTGATGGTAAGAACCATAACCTGTTATTTAGAAAAATTTATACATCAAAGAAGTACCTGAACACATGAAAATTTGTTTCAGATGCATATCAGACACCTATAAATATAAACTTAAAGTCAAACTGGAGCAAAACTATGTAAAAATTTTCAATCTTTTGTCTTATTTTTCTGCACTTGGCTCATCTTATTGAACTATGTGCGGGGTTGTTGGTGTTAAGTGGACTAGTGACATTTACTATATCATATATACCTGCAAACTTGTTGCTTTTCGGTTTAAATCGCTGTTTTTGAGCCAAGCCAAATATAGCGTTCACGTGAATCATATAGATCCGAACCGTTTTTGTTTTGGGTGGTCCTTCTGTTGGGTTTCAGTAACTTTTTATGCGAATCAGTCAGAGAAAGGAGGGGTATTCATCATGTTCACAACCTATCTTTTTTATTGCGCATCAGTCATTTGACCAATCACAGTCGCAGAGACTTAGGGCAAGTATGCAGGTAAATCAAAATATTCTTCATCGAAGATTTTCTTATCCAACTGATTATTCCAAAAGTGTTCAAATGAAGGCAACTGCACTTTGTGTTTCTTGAAGACGTTTCGCTTCTCATCCCAAGAGCTTTATCAATTCTGACTAGAATATGGGAGAATCAAGCTTATAAACTGTAGCTGCCATTTGTTACTCAATGAGCAGAAACTACCTATGACTACCCCCCTCCCCAACCCCTGATGAGTCAGTAGCCTCGATTGTATGGGGGCCATTGTGTTGTTTAGATGCAGGAGGGTGTGACCTGGACCTAGACAGAAACTGTTTGGGGGTAAGATTCAGAGCTGCATTATAGGCGCTCAACTGATTATTGCCAAAATAACTATGTTGTTAACATTTCCATAAGTACTCAAATGTAGCTTGTACATGTGTCCCCTAATATTATTACATAAAACACAGACTTAACATTATATACAATATGAGCTCTTCAGCTCTTGTGTGGTATCATAGCCAGATTGCCATTAAAAATGCAAAGCACATTAAGAACCTCAAGGGTATTCACTTTGATTTTAATGACCTTGTGCCCCTTTCTCTTTTGACAAATGATGACATTTGCACCACTGTTCATAACGTAATGAAAATCCTAATGAAATCTTGTTGATCTGATTATGCCTGGATACCTATGATTCATTAGATTTTAGTTTCTGCACTATTTTAAATGTTTTTGGGCCCAGAAAATGTGGAAAAGGTCACACATGTTTGATTAGTTATAGTAAAGTCCCCTTTGATAGCAACAGGTTGTCATTTTTAAACATCAGGAAAAGATAATTTCCCAATATTACACTGTTTATGTTTGCCTTCTTATAAATAGATAGAAGATAAAGAACTAAATGTAAGCATATGCTGAGACTAGTATAAGAGCACATGTGCTGTAAATGATTTCAGGTAAGCAGCTCCATTAAATCCTCAAGTGGGAAACTGTCACAGGTCAGCAGGGTCCCTGTGTGCATGTGTATGGGAAAGGGTTTGAGTAAATTATGCCTTTTGTTCATGTCCTTTCGTATTCAGACACATTTTGTCACATCAGGTTCCATTAACAAAGACGGATGAGTCTCAAGTGTTTCCCCCTCCGTCTTTCCATACTTTCCCTCCCTTACTCAGAGGTCAGAGGGCACAGTATTTTTTGTTTGCCTCATCTGCTTCTTCCTCTTCTCTTTTCTTACTAGCACTGATCTCATTTTCACATCTGCCCCCCTTTTCAGTGTGTCTCCTGTTGTCACTACAGTGAATTTTCATGACAGAAGGGTCCTTTTGTGATTTACATAGGCTCATTTTTAGACTTGTTTGACTTTATCTTTGTCTCTAACGTGGTTGCCCCAATCTGCATTTAAAGTTTCCCTTATCTCTATTTATTCAGAGTTAAAAATCCTATTTAAATATTTTTTCCAGTTCCCAATATTTTTTTTTTTGCATTGCCCCTAATGTTCTTTTATCTAATACTCCTTGTTATACAGTAAATATAATAGATAATTACAATAAAACAGCCCCATTCATGGGTTTACTTTGCTTTTACAATAAATAAATTAATGTTAGGACATGCATGGTTAGAGGTCTAGATTTTATTGTTATTGATGGTGTTACTGTTTTGCATTCCCTCTACATCGTTGGACAAAGTCCCTGAAGTTAACTGCTTAAATTATCTCGATGTCTGATTGGACTGTCGAGTGATCTGACTTCTTCCCTTGAGACTCCTCACTGGACAAACATCCTTTTTAATCAGCCCTTTTATTCCCCTTAGAAAGATGTGGTTGCAAGGTTTGGTTTGTTTGGGGAATATGGTTGCTTCTCAGAGGTGGTCAGTGTTTTTTCTTTTCTTCCTGTTACTGGGGGCAACCTAAGATGTTTGTGAAACAATACAACATGTCCTCAGGATCCATTAAATACGTAACTATTTGATTCTATTGTTCCTATTTATATATTTTCAAATCAAAGCTAATTAAAGTAGGCAAACAATTGGATTTAATACATTTAATTGATATGTCTTCACCATGTATTAGCCATATTACGCCTGTCCTGGTACGTCTTCAGTGGCTCCCTGTCATTTTCAGAATACAGTTATTGACTTTTGTATTTAAACCACTTAACGACCTGGCACCCCTCTATCTCTCTGACCTGCTTACTCCCTATGTACCCACGGCGTGGGTAACAAAGCAGCATGGAGACACTCCGTCTCCAACCACCTCTCAGGCAGCAGCCTGCACTCCCAAGTTCTACACGTCACCAGAACATAACCAACCACAACACAATAAAAGCAGTGTTATACACAATGGAATGCCTGTAGTGTTTATTCTCTTACAGTAACAATTAATCAATTTTTGGGAGGAATTTATTTGAGATTTTCTTGTTTTTATTAATTGTGCAATAAGAAAATAATCGCTAGATTAATCGTCTAAATAGTCATTAGAATTGTCGACTATTCGATAAAATAATCGTCAGAATAATCGTTTTAAAAATAATTGTTTACCCCCAGCCCTAACCCACGCGCACGTTGAGGTCGGCTGACCTCCTGCTGCTGTGAACGCTCCAGATGCGATACAAATCGCGGGGTGAACTAGCATTTGTGCATGCTGCCCCAAAGCTGTGGAACTCGTTACCCAGTGGAGTTCGTCAGGCTCCATCATTGGCGGTTTTGAAATCTCGTTTAAAGACCCACTTTTACGATGTGGCTTTAAAACAGTGACTCGTTTTAGTGTTTTATTGTGTTAACGTGTTCTTAGTGTTCCTCATGTTTTATCTGCTTTTGATTGGTATTTTATCTTCTGTTTTAGTTCCTTAGATTGGTTGTGTTTTGGTTTAGCCTGTGCAGCACTTTGGGCAGCTTCCATGCTGCGTTTTAAACATGCTATATAAATAAACTATGGTATGGTATGGTATGGTATGTAGAGCCACAAATGCAGATTTATTATTACATTAAAATGTCACGAATACCAAAACAGTGCACAGGGCTTTTTAACTACGAGCTAGAAGCATTAAAGAATATATATTCATATATATTGGATTCAATGTTTATTTTGAACATGTAAAAATAAAATAAAGAACAAAAAACATAATAATCAAAATATGCAAATTGGATAAAAACAATAAAGATGAGAAATAATACACTCTGATTTAAGTAATGAATTTACAAATCTGAAATGAGTGGGATGAAGTGAAAATTTATTGCAACGCACCCCTTCATATTAATTCAATATCAACAACTAATTTGGCTCCCAATCAACACCATATATAAATACTAATAACACCAATATTACTCTTTGTGGGCAGCATAGCACAGGAGGTAGAGCGGGTTGTCCAGTAATAGGAAAGTTGCAGGTTTGATCCCGACTCAGACCAGAGAATGCTGCTGTTGTGTCCTTGGGCAAGACATTTAACCCGCCTTTCCTGCTGGTGGTGGTCAGAAGGACCAGTGGCGCCAGTGTTCGACAGACCTCTTCTGTCAGTGCACCCCAAGGCGGCTGTGGCTACATCGAATCTCACCCCACTGTTGAGGGTCTGACCTCATGAGGAAATTACTATGCAGTGATTTTCTCCAAAATGACTGTGCTTAAATTGCTCTGAAAAGCAAATAATCACATCAGCGCCAAGAAACTTCATTTCCCATGATGCTTTGCACACGGAAGCATTGTGATGACGTCACCGCCTAGTACCAGAAACATGTTCTGCGCATGTGCGGGAAGCCGTGGAGCTTTTCCCGCGAACTAAGACCATAAATCTTCAGCAGAGACAAAGAATCCTCGTTCTTTTGCCCAGGATACCTGGCGGTAAGGACACGCTTGTCAACGCTCCGACAACTTGAGCACGCGGAAGCTCTAAGTGCCAAGTTGAGCCCACGGAACTGCTGGAAACTAAACTGCAAGCCCATCAGATCTGCTCGTTTCTGCTCCCCTCCAGCTGATGTTTGAGGACACAGAACTGCGGAGGAAAGCAACAACTCCATCAAGCACGCTGTAAGTTATAACTCAGCACAGAAAGAAACTTTGCTGTCTCTGTCCAGCCCGTGGAGAAACACTCGTGAACGCCAAACAACGGAGAAAGCATCAAACCGACGGATGACGCTGGAAACTGCGGAGAAAAACGGAGAACCGTCAAGTCATAACAGCGGGGGACGCCTTGCTGCTTTGGTGATCAGAAAACTCATTTTTTTCTCTCCTTTTCTTCTCCCGTTTCCTCTATAGTCCAGAATAAGCAATAAAACCGCGCTATTGCTTAAAAAGTAGCTTCGTGTTTTCCTCTTTCGTCCCAAACACGTCCGTCGGGTCATTTTGAAAGAATAAACTGCTTATTGATCATTGTTTGGTATCTTAAAATGGTTTCTGTCATGGCCAGGCTGAAACTAAAAGATATTAATTTGTGATTAATCTTTTGTGTTGTTTCATGATCTTTTGAAATGTTTTGAGTGATTTAAGGTTAAGTTACTACTGATTCTAAGTGCTTTGGAAGTTAAAGTGCAAGTTGCCACCCACAC